AAGTAAGCCACGCATGCGCGGTAAGTGTGTGCATTGTCTGAAGAAGGCATCCGGTGATCAGCCGGATCTAAATAAAATAACTACATATTGCCCACAGTGTCCAGGTGGCTTGTGGATGTGTTTGGAATGCTTTGATCAAGCTCATTAGGAGAAATTGTATTTATTCATAATAAACCTCAATACATACTGAGGTCATTCACGCTTGCATGGTTATTAATTATTATTGTATAAAATAAATTAAAAATTATTATTGTGTAAAATATTATTGTTGGAAACTGAATTAAAAATATAACCATATAAGCTGATAACCAAGCAATCCTAAGAATTATGTGNGAAAGCGGCTCCAGTCGAACAACTACACCTACTGCCTTTTACAAAATCGTTGTATTCGGAAGTGAAAACAGGCGAAACTATTTTGAAAACATCTTGGAATAATCACAAACTAACGAAAATAAGTAAGCCACGCATGCGCGGTAAGTGTGTGCATTGTCTGAAGAAGGCATCCGGTGATCAGCCGGATCTAAATAAAATAACTACATATTGCCCACAGTGTCCAGGTGGCTTGTGGATGTGTTTGGAATGCTTTGATCAAGCTCATTAGGAGAAATTGTATTTATTCATAATAAACCTCAATACATACTGAGGTCATTCACGCTTGCATGGTTATTAATTATTATTGTGTAAAATAAATTAAAAATTATTATTGTGTAAAATATTATTGTTGGAAACTGAATTAAAAATATAACCACATAAGCTGATAACCAAGCAATCCTAAGAATTATGTGAATTTAGTTCTGGAAAACTCAAGGTCTATTAAACATATTGATATAAAAAATTAAATAAATATTTGGCACTACAATGTTTGCATAGGATGTAGCTGAGCTTGTACTTCAATTTCTGTTATACGTATTGATGTATTAACATATAATTTTACGTCGCATACGAAGAGGATTGTATGCTGCTACAACAACAACAACAACGCTTACCTTGAACCACCACTAAACTGGAGTAATGAAAACCAATTTATTAGCTTTAACCTAAAAAACACAACCTCCTACACGAAGTATAACTTTAATTAAAGCACAATTCTGACTTCCAAAACGTCAATTGCTTTGCATACGTACAAAGTATAAGGTTCCATAACATCGAACTACAAAATATTGGCAATGTATACTGTTCCAAAACGCGTTCGAAAAGTTATCGAAACGCAACGCTAGAGCAATCAGCGCATCAGAAACAAAGTTGATGCTTCGTTTGGTGTTTTATAAATGGAAAATTCAGAATTATTGTTCATTGCTATATTGAATATTTAAAATATGCAATGTATGTATGTATATGGTTGCAATGTGCCGCAACTCTGCATATAGAAACAGTTTGAATACCGCAGTATAACAGTTACCAAACATTNTTAAATAAATATTTGGCACTACAATGTTTGCATAGGATGTAGCTGAGCTTGTACTTCAATTTCTGTTATACGTATTGATGTATTAACATATAATTTTACGTCGCATACGAAGAGGCTTGTATGCTGCTACAACAACAACAACAACAACAACGCTTACCTTGAACCACCACTAAACTGGAGTAATGAAAACCAATTTATTAGCTTTAACCTAAAAAACACAACCTCCTACACGAAGTATAACTTTAATTAAAGCACAATTCTGACTTCCAAAACGTCAATTGCTTTGCATACGTACAAAGTATAAGGTTCCATAACATCGAACTACAAAATATTGGCAATGTATACTGTTCCAAAACGCGTTCGAAAAGTTATCGAAACGCAACGCTAGAGCAATCAGCGCATCAGAAACAAAGTTGATGCTTCGTTTGGTGTTTTATAAATGGAAAATTCAGAATTATTGTTCATTGCTATATTGAATATTTAAAATATGCAATGTATGTATGTATATGGTTGCAATGTGCCGCAACTCTGCATATAGAAACAGTTTGAATACCGCAGTATAACAGTTACCAAACATTGTATTAGGGGTATTCTCTGAGTCTTGCAAAGCCCTTGCACGGTGCACGGATTGCACGGTTTGCAAAGCTGTCCCATACGAAAACCGGTTTTTAACGTGCAATCTGTGCACCATGCAAAGACTTTGCAAGACTCAGAGAATACCCCNCTGAATTAAAAATATAACCATATAAGCTGATAACCAAGCAATCCTAAGAATTATGTGAATTTAGTTCTGGAAAACTCAAGGTCTATTAAACATATTGATATAAAAAATTAAATAAATATTTGGCACTACAATGTTTGCATAGGATGTAGCTGAGCTTGTACTTCAATTTCTGTTATACGTATTGATGTATTAACATATAATTTTACGTCGCATACGAAGAGGATTGTATGCTGCTNTAAGAATTATGTGAATTTAGTTCTGGAAAACTCAAGGTCTATTAAACATATTGATATAAAAAATTAAATAAATATTTGGCACTACAATGTTTGCATAGGATGTAGCTGAGCTTGTACTTCAATTTCTGTTATACGTATTGATGTATTAACATATAATTTTACGTCGCATACGAAGAGGCTTGTATGCTGCTACAACAACAACAACAACAACAACGCTTACCTTGAACCACCACTAAACTGGAGTAATGAAAACCAATTTATTAGCTTTAACCTAAAAAACACAACCTCCTACACGAAGTATAACTTTAATTAAAGCACAATTCTGACTTCCAAAACGTCAATTGCTTTGCATACGTACAAAGTATAAGGTTCCATAACATCGAACTACAAAATATTGGCAATGTATACTGTTCCAAAACGCGTTCGAAAAGTTATCGAAACGCAACGCTAGAGCAATCAGCGCATCAGAAACAAAGTTGATGCTTCGTTTGCTGTTTTATAAATGGAAAATTCAGAATTATTGTTCATTGCTGTATTGAATATTTAAAATATGCAATGTATGTACATATATGGTTGCAATGTGCCGCAACTCTGCATATACAAATAGCTTGAATACCGCAGTATAACAGTTACCAAACATTGTATTGATACGTTTTGGAAGTCAGCCTAGCAAAATTGCTCCATATCCCAGCCCCTGTGCATGTAGATATTTTATAAATTCATTTATAAAATCAGCTATTTCCGTTTTTGTAAATACCTCGACAACTTGTATCATTGAAAAAATAAATATAAACAACTTTAATTTGGTCTCGTTTCGATCAGTTAACGTACTTTCCAGATAGTAGAAATAACTTTGTTTTTTTTTTTATATATCCTACACTTTCAAGATTTTACTTCATTAAATCTTTTATAGCCAATTATTATTTATCACTATTACAATATCATGAAATAACTTTAATTTTCTTTCTAATAAGTAATTTTTATTTTCTACTTCTTTATGTACCTTTATTAGGAGACATTTGTTGGCTTTATGTCGGGCTTCGCGTTGAGCTTGGTTTCCCCATCCACTTTTCGGGCATAATTCTTTTGAATGAAAGAATGGTTGTGGTTCGCATGTAGCACTTCCAGCTCAGAATTTTTTGTGGTGCGTACTCGTGCCCTGCATTTCGTTGTCGATCTGGTAGAACAAATCCATTTAACACCTTTTGAATTCTCCATGAACTTAACATACTGATAACCACCATAGACGAGCTTAATGGATTTTCTTTGCCCATGCGTGAAATAAAACTGTTGACTGCTTACTTTAGCTGTGGGCACTTGCACTAAAATGACAAAGTACATAGGTTCATATTAGTTAGGTTAAGTAAAAATACATATCAATGATATACATAACGTCCAACATTTGCGCCCAGAAAACAAAAATTGCAAGTTACTTCTTATTTACTACATGGTCTTTGTAGATTTTATTCAAATCATTATTTCAGATCAGTTTTAAGAAATAAAAGGAAGCGGCAATACGAAAATTAAATAAAAGTATAATAAAGTTGTAATTAAGATTGTAATAGTAAATATTGACGTAACCGCTTAATTTCATACATACTTTATAAATTATTTATTCAAATCTTTCTTCACAATGATACTTGGCTCGGCTATTTCAGTGACATCGGCCACAATTTCTTCATATTTTAAATGCATTCCTAAGTCAGACACATCTATCGGATCTGTCGCTTCGACGCCAACTTCAACTGTGCTCGCTCTCTCTCCTGCTGCTGCAGACACTTTCTTCTCCTTTTTAATTGCAGATGCAGGGATAACAGGTGGTATCCTGCGCGTACGTTTCTTGCGACGCACTATTTCTTCGTGAGTGTGATAACGATTGAGCGGCATGACAATATCGTTGATTGTGTAAACACGAGAGCGACACTTTTGGTTCCACCATTGATTACAGCGCCAAAACTTTTTCTCCTCGCCTGAGGACAATTTCAATATTTTCTCAAAGATAAACGGTTGGCCCCCATAGATCAACTGCACACGTCCGCGAGATGTGGCCGAATAAATAGCAACACTGCCTACTGGTAAATAAAAAGGGAAAGAGTTGGAAAAAAAACAAAAGCGTGTTAGTACAAATTTGTGCATAAAATAGGCAAAAAATACATTATTTCTTATATTATAAGCAGGTACAGGAAGAATAATACAACCTAAGTGTGACAAACCACCATTATAAGTTTTATTGAATTGAATTGAATTTATTATTAAATTAAGTTTAAAGTGATTTTTCGATCTTTCTCAGCACACGAGGTGAGGGTTCATGATTGTGCTCGGGCTTAGTTAGACACACCCTGAACAGACCATTTGGTTGTTTTGTTGTTGTGATGCGAGCCTTGCAGGGCTTCTGGCCAACGCGTCGGCTACGACAGTTCCAATAAGTTGTATTACCGCAAACATTGTTTTGTGCATACGTGAAATTGTTGAAGCACAGCAAAGATTTTCCTCGTTGTCCTGGAATGAACCTGAGATTCATATTCTTTTGGGTTATAGCCAATGAGGATGTTTTGCTCTCTTTATCGGCACAATTATCGGCTGTGTTCGATTTTGATGAACTAGTGTTGGTGACCACGGTTGACAGCGTCCAATTGCCTATAGGTTAATTGTTTAGGTTAATTAAATTTTCTTTATGTGTTTGCATACTATAGGTATATATCATCATAGGTATATATTTTTTAAAAGATTAATTCATGATTTACATCTACAGTGAGTGACTTTGAGAATATGTCTGCTTTTTATTTTGTACTATTTATCTGTGCTATTTGCTTTTTATTTTGTACCATTTATCTGTGCTATTTGCAGCATATATGTAGTATTCTATTACAACGGGCGAGGAAAGAATTTATTAAATTGCGGCTGAAAAATAGGTTCAGCTGCAGACTGCGGATAAAGTGTTTGTAGCTGTAGCTGTTGAAATTGTTGTAGGTGGAGTGGATGAAGACACTGCAATGATTGTGCAGGTCGATGCCGCTCCATTAATGGTTCAGTTTCTTCATTCATTGGCGTCTGCAATGACTGCATCAGTTTCAAGTCTTCAGCTGTATACATTGGTTTGTGTGTGTGGTTATCTGAGGTTATATGGATCACATCTCCCTTAGAAGTATGTCGCGTGACAAGTCTTGCGCGACATTTTGCTTTATGATACATGGAACACTTCCAGTCTCGCGAGTGGCGACCATCTCGTACCTTTTCATTGGGGGTGTAAGTGTTGTATTCGTGTAGCACTAAATGAGTGCCACGACGTGATCGTACGTACTGCACAGGTGCTTTTGCGGCTGGAAATATAAAAAATAACACATTAGTAAAGAAAGAAACAAAAATCCACATTAAATGCACGAATAATGGGAAGCTGGAAAATTATAGATTTTTATGAAAATTATGAATTTATTGCATTTGATTTGAGTTAGAAGACGTACAGAAATCACATACATATGTATACACTTAAATTATGTGCCGTGGGTTGGTGCCTTTCTTAGATGGAAAACATTGCTGATCTGCTGTATGGTTATGATTATCGTGCCGTAATCTCAAACTCATTGTATCCTTAAGAAGAACTGCACGGGCGCGACATTTTTGCCGAAAATTGGCGCACTTGAGGTAGTATTTACTAGCCGATTGTGATCCAATCACAAAGCGGAAATTTTCTATTATTGTATATTTGCCAATAGAATTCGGACATTGCTGCACTGTAAAAAAAAAACAAATTGAATATAATATAGAGAAAATTTTAATAACGTGTTAAGTAGTTTAGAAAATAAAATAGTTTAAAGTTAAATACAGAAAAATGTATGCTTTGGACCATGATAAAAATCATCATGCTTTGGACAATATACACATTTTTACATATGTATGCAGTATATTTAAAAATATTTTTAAATTCTCTTTGTACATAAAAATAATCAATTTGTGTCTTCGAGGAGCCTACCTTCAACCCTTCAATGAATTGGTGAATGATTATGAGACCTACGACTTAGTTTAATGCAGTCTTGACCCGCGGTCACACAGCGTGCCGGACAGCGCAGTACATGGCTACTGTTTTTACTGCATACCCAGTTTATGGTAGAGTTATACCTTCGTTCAGCAGTATACATGTAACCATGATAAAGAAGATTAAGTCCTCCTCGCCTGTTGCGTTTGAAATTAAATTCCGCTTCGATCCAAGACGCATTTGTACCTATAGATTTAATTTTATTAGTGAGCCATATAAACAAAGGTGCTGCTGGAAGCAAATTACGAAAAACTTCTACAAAACACTTTATGATAATGATTTAAGCTTACATGTACATACATTAATATAATCTATGTTCGTATTTATTTGAGTGAGCATATTTTATTATAATTTTATAAGTGGTTGTGATCGCCACGCAACGACGCAATCTGATCATATTTTGTGATAACGCGTGCTGTGCATTTGGTGTACTTGCAACGCAGTTTCACACATTCCCAATAACACACATCTTTTATACGTCGATTTAATGTATATGGTTTGCCGTTAATGGTTAGCAAGTTGTTGCCGCGTACACTACGGGTAAAGCAAACGTCGAGATCTTCATATTTTGGTTTTCGCTGGTATAATCTGCCCGTTTCCACGCAAAATAGAACACCACCGGCAGAACGTGATCCATATTCTGAAAAAGATAATAGTTTTTCTGTTTTAATATTAAATTAAAACATAGTGACACAATAACATAATACACACATAAGTATAACTAAACACATTAAATTTAGGTTTCGGAAAGTTAATTTATTTCGATATTGTCTTAGCTCGCTTTAGGATATTTTAACATAAATACAAGATTAAAAAGCAAACATTTATTAACTTCCTTTTTCTTATACCTAACGCATCGACTTAAATATAATTTGTTGCCTATAAGAACCCTTTAGCAACAAAGTTCGCGCAAACGTTCACATTTGGCCTGTTATTATCCAACCCTTTCATATCACTTTGAATTTTGCACAAGTAAATAGTATATTAAAACTTAGCCAAGTCCTTAACAAATTAATTTCTACCTTTTATTAAAGCACATAAAATTTTCTAATCCACTTACAACAAAAAAAAAAAAAGAATTGAAGCATCGCCGCCATGTAGAGTTGCCAAGGGTTTCAATTTGATTCGCAGGGTTGCTTAAACTGTACCAATATTTAAAAATTCTAAACTCTATTAGGGGTCTTCATCTAAAGTGATAAGCCCTTGATGAGCTTGATAGAGTGACAAATTTATCATTTTAATTAATGAACTGCGAACTCTATGGGGAAATCTATTTAACCAAATTTTATCACTTTATCAAACGATTTTGGTGGATAAATGTATAAATTTTAGCAAAATTCAACCCCAAACAGCTTGCCAGCGCGTGAAGACGGCCGGTAAACTATCATCTCAGACTTGAGCGCAACAATCATTAATTTCTTAAACCGAGTATATCGATCATCGATATGTTTATGGGAACTTTGGTTTAGACGACAACAAAGATTATAATTCGTCTAAAATGTGAAGTTTTTGTGCTTTGTTTTTCCTTTTTTGTTAACTAAAGCCATTTTATTTGTGTTTTTAGGCAAACATTTCCGAAAATGTTGTCGAATGTTGGACTAGTGAAATAAAAAGTGTGATAAGTGATACTTAGCGCAAATTAATGTAATGGACTTTCATTCAAACCTACATATGTACATACAATATAAAGCGTGGTCTAAGTGGAAGGCAATTCCCAAATGTGATTACTAAAATATTGTGTTGTAAATGAAGTTAGATTGTAGAAACTGTATTGTAATTAAATGTATAGACCTAAGTTTAACCAAATAAATTGTATCTTTGCCTCTTAGGACTTTCATACTTTTATCACTTTTAGTTTAAGGCGGTATACTCACTAATTTTACCAGAAATTTCATTAGCTTCATTGTTTTGCAGAAAACCTGAAGGCACGGACTAATAATAACCAAAAGACCAAGTCTTCCAAGTCATCGGTCGCAAAAATCCCCCTACATGCTGGCAGTAAGGTTTATGTATCTAAGTATGATTTGGCTAAAATATTTATACCCAACGCTTGTATCTACACTTCGCGTTTAAGTGAATTGGTATTTGGATTTGATGTTTTGGAGAATATAGCGCGTTCAAATGCAAAACAACGACTGCTGATGCTCGATGAGAGCTTACTCAAGTCGATCATAAGTAATTTCACATAACACTTGCAAATGAAGTTGATAAAATATAACACTATAATTATTTTAATTTTTAATAGCTCACGTCGTACAGGTATTTTCAATGAGAGGGGAATGCATAGATGAGAATACAGTGCTATCGTTCATACAACACAAGATCAGGAGCATGTCGAATGTGGCATCATCAGCCTCAAGTCGTTAATATTCCAAAACTAAATGGACCTTGGAACACAGTCAACAGTCATTTAAGTTAAAAAATTTCCATTTATAACTACGTGTTGCAATTTTCAATATTAAATAAAAAAGTAATAAAATATGTAATACCACAAATCATCTAATTAATTCTCGATCCTAAATATACATATTGAACTATTACCATTATACTATTATTATTTAATATTTTTATTACCATTTCTTTTCAGATTTAAAATTTATTTTAGAGGATAAAAATACAACTACATATTTACAATACTCTACCACCCAGCGCGGACGTGTGATGCTTATCTACAACGGTTATCGCTATGTAGAAAATCGTCAGAGTCACAAAAACATATTTTGGCGCTGTTCACGATATGTAAAGTATGGCTGCAGGGCCACCGTTGTAACGTCGAAATTACACGACGATGTGTCGGCCATACGTGTTACTGGTTCGCCCCATACACATGATCCTGAGATGAAAACGGACAATCTCGTTGATATATCACCTGATTTTATTGACGAATCAAAGGGCAGCTTGTTACGAATGGTGTCATTACTAAGCGATCTGAAGTAGGAAATTCTTCGATATCAAAAGCCTAATATTAATTTTTTTTCTGTAAAAATTAAGTGCAATAGCGAATTAGAATAAAGCACAGCAAATTAACTTGTAAGCTATTTACGCCTAGAAAATTTTAAATTAATTTCCAAAATATCAAAATAAAATTTCGGAATATTTGAAGTTTTTATTTTGTATGTGTATATCAAAACCGAACTCACGTTTGCTAATGCAAACAAATGTTGATACATATTTATTAATATTTCTCTGTGTTTTTTCCTGTGTTTTTTAGTTAAAGAAACGTTAACGTTGCCGAAAATACTTGATGGAAAGTTTTACAGAGATGTGCAACCAAATCTTAAAACTGTGGGTGGAATTCAAGCGACATGCACCACTTGTTTGGGCACAATATCTGGCACAACGAAATCTACAGGAAACTTTTTGAGTCATATTAAGAGACGCCATAAGGATATAATAGCTACTTGCCAAATGTATTGTCGAACAAAGGTGCAAAATTTGAACGCTGTTTTATCGAATACTTACAATGACGATTCTGACAACATCAAAAAAGAAAAAAGTATGAAAGAACTAAAACAAGAACCCCTAAATGTAGCAATATATACTGCCACTGGAATATTACCTCAACATCAAATTCAAGGTCAGCATGGCATTGCTACACCAGCATTCATATGGCACAAATCATTACCACTGGCTCCAACAAATTCCATGGCAGTTGCTGCAACGATGCAATATCGGAAATTCAATACGGATATGCAACCAACATTTAAGAATCGAGAAAATTAAAGTGTACATCTGCCAGAAGTCTGTTAGTATTATATTTATTCAGTGGTCGAAAATAATGATCTCTTAACGAACTGTCAATAGACATAGGATCAGCGAAAGAAATGCATGTAAAATATCGCATATGTACTTGTGTATTATGTTTTCCATTATGGCTCCATGCCTTGCCGAAGCCGAAATTTCAATATAACGAGCAAAAATACATAAAAAAAATTTAGTTTTTTAGCACATCTCACATAATATTAAGTAATAAAGTTAAACTGTTTTCCCAGTCAGATGTACATATTTTTCGCCATGTATGAAATAATGACATCTTATTTTGAAAAATTGAGGTGTTTTTCGCCTTGATTGATGATACATTCTCCCAGGTAGAGTATGTTTTTCCCAGCATTGACGTCTCGATTCCAACATGTACCACATTTTGGGCAAAATTGGTACCTGTGGGGCGATTTGGACGTCAAGTTTATGTTGTAACACTCGGCACAAAGTTTTGTTGTCCGGAATTCGTTCACCATTAGGATGTCTGCTTTGCGTTGTTTTATTTCTGCGATTAGTAACCGATTTGGTGTAGGTTTGGAAGTTTTAATAAATTTTTCATATAGAAAATACATGTCAATATATCACCGAAAAATACATATATGTATGGACATACATATATCCAGCATACATACTACATATATAAGTGGATGCATGTTTATATGAATGTGTGTTGGTCATAATTTAGATATATGGGTAACCGCAAGGATTTCCACTTTAGGGATTTTTTTAGCTATTACAACAACAGTTCAGTATGTACATAAATGTTAAAATTTTTGTTTTATACTTTTATGACCGTTTTTAAGTAGATTTTAAAATTTATCTGCGCTTTGCGAAATTTTTTTTTCTGAAAAAAATGTGTTTGAAGGTATGCTTTAAAATTTATCGCCCTCCAAATACATTTTTCGCAACAAAATTTCTGTATAAAGGGCAGATAAATTTTAAAACCTACTTCAGTAAACGGCCCTTAATATTTACGTTTTTCCTTAAAAAAAAATTAATTTTTACGATTTCTGTTTATCACTCAAAGATTTTATATACTCCAATCCTNACCTACTTCAGTAAACGGCCCTTAATATTTACGTTTTTCCTTAAAAAAAATTAATTTTTACGATTTCTGTTTATCACTCAAAGATTTTATATACTCCAATCCTTTAAGTCTAATTGAACTGACTTTAAAAAGCAACTGTTTGATTAGCCTGTAGCTTTCCCCCATTTTGGCCGATTGAACTGAATTTTTTATAAATTAATAAACCAGCGCGTCTCGCCACAGCAATGCGTTGACCATCACCCACGTGATTGTGAACATCTTCAGAAAAATGACGGGAATTTAATAAAAAAAAAACACAAAAGTACAACAAATTGGATCCTCACCATTTGTTACATAAAGATCATCGCCAATGGTTTTCAAACGACTTCTACATTTCTTGGAACGATTGTGAATGCATTCCCAGTATACCTTGTCGCTATTTCTCCCGAAACGTTTTAAATTCGAGCGATATATAAAATCGTTTATCGCAAGTAAGGTTCCACCTTTCCGACTAATTATAAATAATTGTGGGCCGCAGTTACGAACGTGCTGCATTACTGAAAATATATTTTAGAAATTTATATTTTAGTAAAGCTCTTAATAGATTTCTTTAGAGACAAAAATTTTACTTTAGATTTTAAATTACATATTGTTGCACAAGATTCAAATTTATATTTATTAGGTTTATTAATAATTCTGTAACTGTTTATATGATGTTTTAAGGCAACTTTTTATACATTTTTTTGCATGAATGCATGTATATGGGTGATATAAGAATGTTTATTTAAATACTACAAAGAATAGAAGTGCTTCTCGTAAAATTTTATTTTCTCACGAAAATAGTCTGATAATCCCGATGCAGTAATTTTTGAAAGCTTTTGGGACTCGTAAACATCTTCGAAGTCTTCTATTCTTTGCGCTCCATTTATTGCTAACAAGGTACCTCTTAGTTTTCTAATCAACATTTTTGCGAATAAATATTCGTTAAAGGTATTGGTACAAAATTTCTTATAAGTATATAATTGTTGAAACATGAAGTTTTATATCAATATCGCTTCCTGCTAATTGTTGGTCAAAAAAAAATATGTCGAGGTTATTTTAAAATCTGATATTGTGGCTTAAGGCACTTTCAATTCAAGATTATTTAAGAATTGTAGTAGAAAACATATATGTAGTTATAAAAATAGGGTTCAATGAGTTTTAATTAATCATTTCTTTTTGCCCAAAAGAGCCTTCTGTAAGCGTCGTTTTATTTTCTCACGAAAATCGTTTGTGTCTGATGAATCTGCAGTCTCCACTGTTGAAACCTCGTTTGTTTCCGACAAAAATTCTTGTGATTCATTCACCTGGATAGAATCAGTTCCCTCTTCATAGGCAGCATTATGTTCTTGTTCCTTACTATCATCGTCATCGAACAGGCCTGCAGGTTCAAAGGTCATAGAGGTTACACTTTTGTCCGTTGCCTGCATGAAATGGACGTGCTCTCCATCCAATGGGAACACGCGCTTCTGGTCAGTGACTACACGAACCTTGCATTCTTGCATATTTTCTTTAAAACAGCATTGGAAAATTGAATACCGCCCTCTTCGGAATGTAAATCTGAAATGATGCCCTTCGTATATGAGTTTCATGCCACCTTTAGTAGTTGAGGCGTATAATGCAGGTTCACCAGGTCCCTGCTGTACGGCGGCTAGTACTTTGTCCACAAGTCTTCTATCATCTCTTGGTTGTTTAGGTGGCCGTCCACGTTTGCCTTTACTCGTAGTCGATTGGTTTTCATTTCCCGGCGAAGTTTTACACACAGAATGCAATACACCTGTCGCCATGGAACTGCCTGCAAATTTATAATAAGTGATGTTTGAAACCCATTATAACACGTTTTATAACTTTAAAAATACTAATAATGAAATAAAACAACAAATATCACAATTGTGGAAAAAATATAAATTTATTTATTTTTGGGAAGGATGGGAGAAATTCAGTTTGCGTCACGCGTCATTCTATTCCAAAGTGCAGGGCAGAGCTGCAAAACTGTCGATTGTACTATCGATAGTATCGATAGTTTTATTTTTGAAAAAAAAATTTGTTTGGCGCATATTCATAGTCATATTTACTACTCAACTAAGTCGAAACTATTCTAAGTCACAACTAAAGCTATTCATAGTCGCCTTAGTTTCGACTTTTCTGGCTAAGTACCAACTTAAATTTTAGTTTCGGCTGCAGCTGCAACTAAGTCGTAACTAGGAAGAAGTATTTTATCAAATTAAGGGAAAACAGACGAAATATGTAAAAATTAAGTTGGTAGAGGGTGATTTTGATAATATTGAATAAACTCCAATTAAAATTTACAAAGATCGATCCATTTTAATCGGAAGATGAAATTAAATGCGTATTACAATTCGAATAAAGCTACATCACAATTTTATAATTGGAATAATTTAGATAAATTTTCGAATAATAAGTCAGTTTCACGCTAGTTCTTTTAAAGTAAATTTGTGCATAACATTTAGATATCTACTATTTGTATGTTTCACAGCATGCTTTCGATAAACATCGACTTCACATCACTGCGGTTGTTCTGGCTATTTCACACAATTAACAAGAAAATGATACCTTATTCTTTTGCATAATCATGCAATGAAAATAAAAATTACATAAACGGATGATCAAACTTGACATTATTTAATAAAAATGTAATTTTTCCAAAATATCGTAAAGAAAAATCGATACATTTTCACACTCGTTTTGCTATATCGTAAACTAAGTCGAAACTACTTAGTAGAAGTCTGAAATGCGACTATGAATAGAGGTAAATTTTAAGTTGGTACTTAAATTTAAGTTGCAACTTTGTTAGTTTCGACTTAGGCTTTCTGCACATTGGTCGTCCAATCATAGTTGCTTCATCGTCACAATCATGATGCTACGATTACATTACGACTACACTTTCGCACACGATAGTATACGATACTATTGAAAATATCGATAGCATCTTTCAAAGACTGCTTTTACACAGTTCAAGTATTGAATTCAATTCTGCTCGCATGTGGAAGAGAGGGGGTGAGAAGAAAAGGGACGAGTACACATGCGTCTGTACCGTCAAGTCGTTTCAACTTTCTTGCTTTGCTTTTGGCATTTTCGTTGATTCCCATTTAAAGAACCAAAAACTTGAATTCAACAGAATTGAAACGTGTAAAAGCAAATATAAAACACAAAAGAGAATGAGCAAGAATTGCTTTCAAGTACTTGAATCATGTAAATCGGGTAAAACTCTCGAAACTATCGAATGGCGTCACTATCGATAGCTTTTCAGCTCTAGTGCAGGGTTACAGTTTATGATTATTTTATTTGCATACATTTTTAATTATGTAGTAAATTATATTAAAGAATCGATAAAAAGATTGTACCCAAAATTTTGATGAAACTTAAAAAAAGGTTATGTTACGAAATTTTCAAATAGTTCCTGTTTATATTTTCTTATGGTTTATTAAAATGGGGTTATACACATACTAGTGATTCAAAATTTGATTTGAATGACTGTAATATGTTTAGCATTACTTTTGATGACATTTAAGTCTCGTTTTTAGTTTTTTAAATTTGTACATAGCTATAAAGATATAGCGCTTTGCAAGAAGTGTATTTGTCCTACACGGTAAACCTAAAATTAATAACATTAGATGCATTCCTGGTGTTCGAAACGCCATTTTGAAACTATCGAATTGTGATTTTCGCCGCATATTTTTCGCAGCTAATAAAAAAAAAATGTTTTCTATCAAAGTGCCCATAAGTATAAATATTCCTAAATCTATTAATCGTTATTACTTGGTGAAAAGAAAGCGGTGTTTACAAAATAGCAATCTATTGTATTAAGTACGTCTTGTTTGAGCTGTTGTGTCATGTAGGAAGTTGGGTGTGTTGCATACTATAAAAATGATTTTTGCCTTTTTGGATTGGAACTGAATACAGTCGAATTGAATTGAATTTAATATGGAGGAACTTGTGCTGATAAGCGCTTTAGGTGATTGGAGAAATAAACGAAACCAAATAACTACATATATATAGTGCGACTGATTCTGCTGACGTAAAATAGTGAGTAATACCATAATGTATTCAACTAAATGCTTATTTCACTATATACATACATACACACGTATGTAAAATATTAGATGTGAAAATTTCAAGATATTTATGTACATAATTCCGAGGGGCAAACTTTACTTTAAGGACCCCCGGTTTTAGGGGTGAAATTCGTATCTTTGGAAAGCTGGAGATCCCCCCTTTCTAAAAATACCTACTTTTAGGTGCGGGAGCCTTCTGGTTTTTAAAATATATAGTATTCAAGTTTTTCTTACTTGAGAAATCAACGACACCGTATATTAAACAAAGCAACACAAACATATACACTAAAAAGTTTTGACACCAGTTAAAATTGTTTCAGCTTGCATTAAGAGGTATTTTTACTCGAATATCACTTTGATATGAAGTAATATCGTTTCAAAATTTCGTGGGAGAAGGAAGCCATTTGCAACTCAGCAAATTTTCTATCACGCTATGAAATTCGTGTTTAACATAAAACAAGGTAGACTTCCAGATTATCTGAGTGATATCCTCGATATAATAGTGAAACCCATTCGTATTTACTCAGGGAAAATAATAGCGCTGTATAAAACGGAAATAGATAAGAAGAATATCTTTTATAAGGGATTAGAATGTTACAATGAACTTCCAGCTCAAATAGAAAATTGTGAAAACGTTGGTACCTTCAAAAGGCTGCTACTTGATCACTGCAGAACATTGTCTGTTAGATAGAAAGGTCCTTTCCATCCGTATTAGCTGGATGACTCGATCTAGTCCATTCAGATCCCCCATAATGTATGAAATAAGAAGGTCGATTACACTCTTAGACCGCATGTCCTACTTGATATATTTACGGTACTGCTTGGAATCACGTCCATACCAACAGCATCGAGAATATGCTATCTTAGTTAAATACACTTNCCGCATGTCCTACGTGATATATTTACGGTACTGCTTGGAATCACGTCCATACCAACAGCATCGAGAATATGCTATCTTAGTTAAATACACTTAGGTCCCTTTTTATGCGGATTTGAGTTTATGCGGTTTTTCAAACCATTATTTCGCAGTAGCGATTTTGCAGTTTTGAGAGTTTTTATTACTTTTTTCAGTGTGTAAAAGACAATGCTTCTGATAAATAATTTGTCTTTGTATTCTTACATAATAATAATATTAGATTGGCGCTTACACATAAGTGGAGGTCCCCTCCAATTTGTAGTGTGCGCCTTGATGTTGTCACACAAAGGGGAGGGACTTACAGTTTTACGCCGACTCCAAACGGCGATTGTATTTATACGAGAAGCTGTTTTTCATGGTAGAAATACGCTCGGAGGTTTGCCATTGCCTGCCGAGGGCGACCGCTGTTAAGAAAAAAACCTTTTTTTTCTAATTTTTGTTTTTATGAATTCGTACATAATTCATGTATTTATTGTGTTTTTTTTTTAAATACAGATAACATTTTATTTATTTCATTAATGTTCGGTTTTACATGGAATAAT